CAAAGAGAAATCTTGAAAATATTCTCTTTATTAATTGCTTCTCTCTGCTTTTTAATATAAAATACATAAATCAGAATATTGCAAAAACTTCTAATATACAATCCTCAGAATATGAGTTAATTCAATTACCAAGAACTAGTGCTTCAATCTACCATTAGAAATTTTAATTTCATTACAGTAATAGAGACCAAGTTCTTCTGATTCACATCTCCAGTAATTTTAATAATTGATTGTTTACTTCCATCTCTATAATTATCAATGTGTTAACTTTTTCTTCAATTGGTTCTAGTTAATTCCAGGGCTGTGGAGTCGGAGTCGTGGAGTTTTGATGTTTTAGCCAGAGTCGGATGGTAAGGAAAAGTTGAAGTCGGTAGATTTTTATGCGACTTCCACAGCCCTGGCAGGGCTGTTCAGTCAGAGTCGTGGAGTTTTGGTGTTAGCCGGAGTCAGAGTCGGTAGATTTTTACGCGACTCCACAGCCCTGGTTAATTCACTAACTAACACATTTTGCCAATTTGCCTTGTATGGATTACCTTATTATCATTTTCGTGAATTATGTTCATAACTCTTCTCGGACACTCATTCAATTCTTGAAAGTTTTCAGTTGTGTCAATCCAGTTAATTAAAACAAAAACAAATATTAGCAGACTGTGTCCATGTGTGCCCTTGACACAACTGGAACCATTTCCCTGACGAGGTTGAAAGTGGTTCTCAAAATACAGTTTGTCCTTATCTTTATCCAGATTTCATTATGTTCTTCGTATCTATTCCAATTCCGCACTGGACAGGTTTTCTGTTTGAGGTACTTCAATTTAACACTATCTTTGACTTGGTAACAGATTCAGAGGTAGACAATGGTGGTATTAAAGTGAGGTTTGACCATGTTTTGGGTCGGATTAGTTCCTTAGACTTTTTTGCTCCTATAGGTATGCTCTACAGCTGTAATAAGGTCGCAATGTCTCATTCAGAGCTTGAATTGAACCTTAAATGGTATATATATATTTTATGAATCTGACATGCCATTAAAATAATACATAAATTTTTATAAAATTTTAATGTTTCATATTGCTCTCCTCATTCCATAATTACCATCACTCAGTATGTTTTATAACCATGAAAAGTAAAACCTAATTTCTTATTGNATTCAGAGGTAGACAATGGTGGTATTAAAGTGAGGTTTGACCATGTTTTGGGTCAGATATGTATGTACAAACATGCACCTAATCTCATGTAATCTATATTATTTTAATATTTAGCCCATTGTTATATACAGTGGTGCCTCGAATAACGGACGCTGTGAACAATGGACTTTGTTTGGCCGTTACGTGACTTGAGCAATAGACTGGCTGCGAACAAGTGCAAATGATGTTCCCACACTTTTGCTGTTGCCCAATGACAATCTGCTATTTTTATAATATATTAGTATTATTAGAATATATTATTAGTATATCTGACGTACAAAGCTCCCGTTGGGATTCGGCTTGCTCCCTTGTTTATTACGTACAACACCCCAGTGCAGGGTATTTACATTTATTCAAGTGTTGTGCAAATCATGGCTTCTAAAAAAACAGAAAGGTGATTTCAATTGAAACAAAGCAAGACATCATCAGAAGGAGTGAAAGTTGACAAAAACTTCCTTGTCAAATGGGGAGAGGTTCAGGAGTTTACCAACACTCATTATCCAAACAGAGCTGAGACCAACAGGAATGATCTCTACAATGACACCCTTGCCCATCATTTCCGACAGGTATTGAAGAAGAGAGAGAAACAGACAACCTTGGACATGTTTTTCAAGAAGCAAGCTGCCAAAAAACAAAGGATGGAACACGAGAAGATGACTCTGCAAGCTCCGGTAGTCTCACCTGAATCTGACTCTGATTAAAAAACAATAAAAAGAGACCTGCTGCAATGTGTAAAAAGTTTGTATCTGTATGAATGTGTGAAGAAAGTGTTCCTCCACCTCCTCACAACATCTGACTACCTGGCATAATTGGTGACTGCTCCATTTTCGGTTTTTTAATAGTACAGTATGGTTATTTTATGCTGCGGAACGAATTATGTGTTTTAACATGTATTTCTGTTGGAAAATGTGTTTTGTATAACAGCTTTTTCACTTAATGGACATGCACATGGAATGGATTAAGTATGCTATACGAGGCACCACGTATATTAAAAAACAAAAAAAAGCACCTTAACTTTGCATTTAGGATGAGATTGCAATGCCCTTACAGAGCAATCGTAATGGTTACATTTTAAGGCCAGATGCTGCCATCACCAATCTCATTTATCCAGATATTCTGACCAGAGCAATCTAGCTCCAGGTCAGAGTAAGAGACGGCATCCTTTCTTGTCATGCGTGAATAAAGTACCATCTGGGTCATATCTGCTTAATTTTGGCAATCTAGTTCCAATGAATGTTTGGCGAAGACTAGAATTGCTCTTATCTATGTACTCAACAGAATAAGCCAAATACTAAAATAATAATTGCCAAATCAAATTATTTTTTGTGAGGATCAAATATAAATGGTAATTGATAATTAAACATACTGGAATTCTTTGATTTGATTGGAATAATAATCAAATAACAGGTTTGTCCCGATGAAATACTTTAAGTTGTTCGTAATGCCATGATGCACATACAAGTATTTGATGTTATTCACAAAATGTTCATTCAAAGTAACTTATTAACATAATTTACCAAATATAAGCTGCGAGTTATCTACAGTATGGTGTCTATTTAAAAGCGAGTGCAGACTGTGTACTGACAATTTTTGCAGATTACATACAAGAAATTATGGGAATACAATATTGAATGGTTTGTTTGAAGAAAATTATTTTGAGTAATCTAGCATCTTTGTATAAAACATTTCAAATCAACTTTTATAAAGTATGGAGCAAAAAGTTTCTTGGATCAGTTTTAAGACTCATACTTGTTACTGTAAGATATCGGGTTCAAATTCAAATTGGATCATTGGAAAGTTTCATGAACATTTTGGCTCCCTAATTATGTCGAGAGTCTTGAACGTTTGACGAAGACTGCCTCAATATATTTTATACCTTGCAAAAGTCACTCAATCCTTTGTGACTCATAATGATTGCTATTTTGACTTATGACTTCAAGACACCAGAAGGATTTGCTTAGAATTTTTTGATCTGCCAGAACAAATGTTATTGGGTTTGCTAATCTCTTCGATGGTTGAGAAAAACAACACTTCTAACATCTGCCAACTTCGCAAATTAAAATTATTATACATCTTGCTAAAATTGCCAAAAGCATCTTTGGAGATGTACTTGTACAAGTTGTGCACGGATTTCACTTTGGGTTCAGCAATTTTTAAAGTCCAGAGTTATGTTCCGCCAATTATCCAAGTGAAAACAGAAAATGCTGGTGTTTTCTGGATTGTGGACGACAAAGCCAATGTGTATCGAGTTCAGTTTGTCGATTTCTTCAAAAGAGAATCTGGTCCAGATGGATCTTTCGGAGATTGTATAGTAGACAGATCGGACTGTCGGTTCTTCAGACTTGTCTGTATGCTGCACACACTATCGATTGCCAACTATAGCTGTCTTTCCATCAATGTTTCATTAAATTCTTCACAACTCCCTGCTTTTACATAATATAAAGTGTGTTGCTCTCTAGTATAAATTTATTATTACAATTGTATGAGATATCCTGCGTAAGTACTATATTTTATATTTTTTGTTATCCATTTTGGTATAGTGATATTATGAAATTAAAACTATTTGTAGGAACACAAGATCGAATCTATTGAAAATTAGAATTTGATCCTTTGATGTAAGTAATTCTAAAAAATTTAATTTTTTAAGTTCATATTTCAAATAATTTTGATAGATCTAGAACACAGTATATTAGTCATCCCCGCAAATAAAATTCTTATACGGGGATCACCCAATTGGATATGATCTATTGAATGGTGATATTTTTGACTTCCAGAGCTGGCCAAAAGTTAGCTATCTGGGCCGGAAATTGAAAATATCGCCATTCAATAGAGTGTACTTGTTTAAAATTAGTTAAAAGCTGTATGAACTTGAGATTGCCACCAGCTGCAAATGTGTATGATACCATGTAATGTGCATTAAGCACAGTGGTAATTGTGATTTTGAATGACCTCTTGTAATTCTGTCTGGATTAAAAGACCAGTTGGAAATTGGCAGCGAACCTCTATTAACATGTTTGCCACTGGTTGATAGAATGGCCAATGCAGCAAAGGCGTTAGTCTTCTGCTCTGGGTAACCTGTTTGAATCTAGAACGGGGGTGGTAAACCTATGGCACATGTGCCCAAAGTGGCGTGCAATGTAGCATCTGTCTTTTTCAATCAGCTTTTCTACATTTATTATAATTAAAATATATTTGTTTAATATCATTATTCAAAGTCTAAAACGATGGAACAGGGTTCAAAAAGGTTTGCCATCCCTGGTCTAGAATATCTATTCTCGAGTTATGACAGTAACAGTGTAAAGTTACTGTCTATTATGTGGTACAGATGTGTTTGGCAAAACCATTCACTAAATGAGTTCCTACCATGTGACATATTTGCATAAGTTGAAACTAAGGGTGCATTTACTTGAGCTAATAGTGATAGTTTGAAACATTGGAAGTGACATCATTAGCACGTGTATTTGTGCTTGCATGTACAGTTCAAATGCTAACAAGAAATATGGCAGTTTCCTGCAAATGATTCCAAATCAGATGAGGATAGATCTTATTGTGGATAAAATAAAAGTAAGATCAAATAAAAAAAGATAGAAATTATTATTGAAGAGACTGTACTTTTTTATAATCCAACTGATTTTAAACATCACCTTAGACTTACAAAAGTATACAGGTTGAGCATGCTAATAGTAAAATTAGCTCAGAAGTAAACACATCCTTAGTGTCCAAATCTGAGCCTTAGAAATTTCGCAAGTGTTTTTATGGGGTTATTGGATACCCCTCTTATTTTGGGGAATTAAGATTGGCGTGAAAAAGAAACAATGTTGTGTATTACAAGACATAAATTTAACACTTATAGATTTATCTTAATATCATTTTATTTTACAACTCACTTTCTAAAAGCGGTAATTTATGGCAAAAATCAGACTTCCGGCTATAGGTCACGTCGTTTTGAAAATAATGTGCACGAGGATCCGACAGACTGCTCTCACTTTCTTGTAGAGATCGGGGTTCTTCGCATTCTACTATTGTGTCGCAAGCATGTTTTGACAAAGGTTGCATCGCAGACAGCGGTTTAGTGAATGAGTCTGAACACATGGAAGGAAGATCGACACAACTGGAAGCTTTCTCTTCTCCTCTGCTCTCTTGTTTGTGGTGACCGTTCGGTAAGTCTTGCAACTGATTCAGAATGTCACTTTGAATGTTTTCTCCAGACCAGCTTGCTCTCTTGTCGGATATTCTTAGACCAAGTTTGTTTGAAGAACCATTCTGAGTCTTACTCCTCTTTTGGTTGGGATCTGCCGCAGAGTTCCTTCTCAGTAGAAAAGGTGAACATAACGGTTTTAATATTGTGCGTTCGTACACAGTTTTCTGAATCTGAAAATAGACTAAACAATATTTTATTCCGATAATATTGATGATTTTAATATTCTGTAAGAGAAACTTACATCTAATAATGCGGTGGAATCGAGTACGGTGGACTTGTTTCTATCTTGATTTAAAAGTTCTAGACTCAAAGTCCTTTTATCGTCCTACAAAAAAATTGTTTACAACTTTGTTAACTTTAGAAAATTAAATTTAGACAATGAATCTTCATACAATAAGCAGAATTTATTGAAAATAGTTGTTTGATGTCGTTACAGAATTCAAATATTGCTTTACGTCATTCTTTGACCAGCACAGCTGCAAACCTAAGCCTAATTTTCCCATAGAAACCTTTGCCTCTGTTATCGCAATTGTTGTATGCAATAATGCTTTGTTCTGGCCCAGAATAAATACAAAATATTCAGTTGATCCCATGGAGAAAGCTAGTTTGCAGAAAAAGTAACAATATTGGAATAGAGGAAGTGAAAAGAGCAACAGAAGATAGTCCATTATGAACTCATGGACTAAAGTTGATTTGGACTGACAAAAAGGGAACAGGTAGAGACAATTAAAGAATTGGAAAACATAAGATTGATCAAAGACCTTGTCAGATAACCAATGGATTTCATCATCATCAATCCATTGAATGATGATGAAATCCATTTTCATTTCTTATGCATCAACCTTTGGAGATCAAATGTAATGCTCTCTCTCTTGGTAAACCATTTGTATGAATATGGTGCTAAACTACATTTACCCTTAAATTATGTTTAATCTGATTAACCCGTTATGGGTTCTTGGGTCCCTTAGGTTTTCTTAATTCTAAATGAGCTGGATGAATATAAAATTCGAACATAAAATCGAACCATGTGATGAAGAGTTTGAATAATGAGACCTTATGTGCATGTGTTCCCTGTGACATTATTTGAACTCTTCATCTTGCAGTTTGATTTTATGTTCGAATTTTATATTCATCTATGATTTTGGGAGATCCAGCTCATTTAGAATTAAGACAACCCAGAAAGGCTTATGAAAATGTTTGTTATTCAAGACAATTGTACTTTGCACCAGTTATTAGTTATAGGGAGTCTTACTTTATATTTATCCCAGTGTGGTATGCAGATATGTATTAATCATTGTAATTTGTTGTTGTTCAGAAGGAGGAGCTCAGGTATATTCTCTTCCCCTCCTTCAAGCATTACTAATTTCACTTCCTGTCCCACAATTCGTTTTGTTTTACTGTAGGATGCTTTTGTTTCTAACACTAGCCTTGGGACGAACCATAGCCTCTAGATGCCGGCTGGGTTACTGGCAAGTCCATATTGTTGATCACACAATGTACTCTGGTTGGAGACAAAGTCAAGTGGTGAGAGGATCTGACAAGAACTAGTGTTCAACAAAGGATGGCATTAACAAGTATTCTATTGAGAAACCTTAATTAATCAACAGATCCATCCCAAGTTATGAATACATTTTAAATAAAGGAGAGCATAACTAGTGACAAACTTCACTCTAAAGCTTGTGTCACACAAAGTGACTTTGCTTGTTGCTGTTTGAGTAGCAATGACTAATTGTATCATATGATGCATTTAGTGCACTTTGAACCAAGTAGTGGCTATAAATACTCGCTGTTACTGGAATTAAATGTGTTTGCTTCTACTCACTGGGAGTGTGTTGCCTTGGCAATCGAGCAATCTAGTTACTACTAGAAAGCACCTGTGTCTATTGACGTGACAACACAGTTGCTACTAAACTAGGATTTTAGCTTGTGTAGTTGTAGGCAGCAATTAAAAAGTAAATAACTATAATAGAACTTTTCATTATACTGCCCCTACATCATGTTATGTCATATTTGATCATGTGATCATATAAGGATTGCCAAGCTTATGATAGTTGTTTTTCATCTTAAAAAGGGCCACTGCGTAAATTTTAGTCATATTTAAATATTTCTAATGCTTTTAGTATCCTGTTGGAGTAGGCGTGTTTTGTTCTCGCGACGGTAACCTTGTTGAGGAAGGCGTGCACTTCATTATCCATTGCGTACACAACTAGGGCGGGGTTTTGTTCTTTTTGTCGATATCATTTTTGTGTTTGGCTAGTCTTATTTTGAGTGACCTTGTGGTTGAACTGATATATTTGAGTTCGTAACCAAATCTGTCATCTTTCAAAAGAACTTTATATACCCCGATACTCTAAGCTTACTAGTCTTATCTTTTCCATTCCTAAAGATATTAAAGATGGTAGGAATGTGACTGAATGTCAATTTGGTCTCTTTTAGATTTGCTATTTCCTTATACATATTGTGGTTATATTCTAGAATGATACGGCTTGTGTTTCTGCATTGATTGTATCAGTTTTCATCTTTAGGGTCCAAGTTGTGAGTGTTGTTGGAAATAATACTGGCTAAATTCCTCATGCAGTAACCAAGTGTTGTGGCTATTTGTTCAATGAGTTCTAGTTTGATTGTGTCAGAATAATATGTACAGTGGGTAAAAGCCCTTTGGTAAAGGCCCTAAAAATTGCAATCTTATATATATAAGGGTCATGGGAGCTTGCCAGTATAAATAAGAGTGTTATATTGATTTATAACTTTTGTATAGACTCAATTTTTTCTGATGTTGATTTTTAGGTCTAAGAAATATACTTCTGTGCTGCTGGCTTGATCTAATTTAATGATGAGATCATAGGGGGTTGCTTTGATAGGAAATTATTAGAAAAAACAGTTCTACCTAACCTGATTACAATCTCACAGAACTGGATAGGGGGCTGCCCATGGACATTTGTTTATGTTGAACAAATGTGCTATGATTATACTAGAAGAATGAAGAATAACATATTGTATGGGCTAGCTCTAGGATATCTTTGATCATACCAAGAACCAACATTGCACAGTGTTGATGGTACGATAAACACAATACAGTATAGCATCGATTATCTGACTCAATTGGGGACTAGGGTTGGTCGGATAACCGAAAAATATGAAAAAATGCATTATTAGTATAGTACAGGGGTCGGCAGTTTGTCAAGTGAGAAGAGCCAAATTGTCATGAAAACAGGATAACAAAAGTACCAGAGAGCTGCATATTAATTTAAATGTGTGAAATACGACACACAACAGAGGCGTCTAGTGGCCATTTTCGGCATAACGTTATACGGATGGACGGACACGCGTTCAATGGGTTATATATATAGATATGCTTCAAATGCTACCACTCTTATGTGACTCATATTGATCAATGCGAGTGTGGTCATGTGCGGACAGAGAACAAGTCGAAGTTTGTTTGGTGGCTCTATCTCATAAACTCATAAGTTATAAGGCCATGGTGAAATGAGGTGAGATGAAATTGGAGTTTATTTCCGAAGAGCCGCATGCGGCTCGCGAGCCCTAATTCCGACCCCTGGTATAGTATATTAGTATATCTCATGTAATTAGTATATCGCTATTAACCTACTTTGCGTTGCATTTTCATCAATGTTAACCCTAACAGAAATAATAGTCGTCGCTATTGTATCATTAAAAATTAGAAAATTAAGCCTCGTTTAAATACTGGCTCCCTTTCATGGTCGAGCCAATGTTGCCAGCTAAAACACATAAAAGTACTATTAAAGTAGCCAAGACATAGCCAAATATTGTAGCGCCACATCACTAGCGGACATTTGAATTTGCCGACTAGAATGGTCGGTTAACCAATGTGACGGTTAATCAGGGGTAGGATAATCGATGCTCTACTGCAGGGATGGCCAACCTTTTGCATATCATGCGCCAATTTTTTGACAGACGAGTTCAAATGTGCCATATAACTCGAACACTTTTTATAGTCTTACGTTCAATGTTAGGAGTTGATAAATAGAGATAAGAATAAATCTGCTTCGCTTAGGAAAGAAAAGGGAATAATTTAATCACGCAGTTGAATTAATTAATTTATGACAGTTTATTGAAGCACCAATTTACAATAGTCAACAATGATTTCCAGTACGAGAGGGTGATTGCTTCATGAAGGTGCTATTGCTGCCAGAGTCTCATTTGGTGAAGATTACTCTGCACCACAATTATTGGCACTGAGAACGAGATCAGCTTGGAATAACTTTAATCACAATAAATGTTTTTGGCCATTTACATGCCTGTAAACTGATCGGAAATAAAGATCGCAAGACTCAAAATACATGCATACATTGTAATTTACTATGTGGAGAATACTCATTCTATCTGCAAAATAGACCGTAACGAATTGTGCAACAAATGAACTTGCCAAGACAGACTATAAAAAATTTATTCTTCTATATAATATTCTTAATCGCAAAAAAGCCAAATATGGCAATTTTGCTCAGAACTAACTGAAGTGCCACTTGTAATCATCCAATGCGCCACATTTGGCGCATGCGCCACGTTTTGGCCACCCCTGCTCTACTGTATTGACAAAAAAGAAACAAAACACCTCCCTAGCCATGTACGCAATGGATAATGAAGTGCATGCCTTCCTCGACAAGGTTACCATCTTCAAGAACAAAACACGCCGACTCCAACAAGATATAAATATTTCTAATGCTTCTAGTATCTGACAAAAAGGGCCACTGCATAAATTTTAAAGACGAAAAACAACTATCGTAGGTTTGGCAATCCTTATATGATCTAGTGACCAAATATGACGTATGATGATTTTCAAATTAAACCTTACTGGAATATAATTTAAGGCTTTTGATTGAAGTGTTTTTTATTATATCATTCCAGTCTACTAAGAGGCATTCAACTCTACAAAGCTAAACAATTTTATAATTATAAAAGTAAGTAAAAAAGAATTAAAAAATCAAAAATACCTTTAATTTAAAATCTGCCGAATGATTTTCCATCATATTCTTTCTCCAAAATTTGGCATTTTCAAAATTTTCGTTTCTCAGTTTTGGATTTTTCAAATTATCCGACGACTNTGTAATCGTCCAATGCGCCACGTTTTGGCCACCCCTGCTCTACTGTATTGACAAAAAAGAAACAAAACACCTCCCTAGCCATGTACGCAATGGATAATGAAGTGCATGCCTTCCTCGACGAGGTTACCATCTTCAAGAACAAAACACGCCGACTCCAACAAGATATAAATATTTCTAATGCTTCTAGTATCTGACAAAAAGGGCCACTGCATAAATTTTAAAGACGAAAAACAACTATCGTAGGTTTGGCAATCCTTATATGATCTAGTGACCAAATATGACGTATGATGATTTTCAAATTAAACCTTACTGGAATATAATTTAAGGCTTTTGATTGAAGTGTTTTTTATTATATCATTCCAGTCTACTAAGAGGCATTCAACTCTACAAAGCTAAACAATTTTATAATTATAAAAGTAAGTAAAAAAGAATTAAAAAATCAAAAATACCTTTAATTTAAAATCTGCCGAATGATTTTCCATCATATTCTTTCTCCAAAATTTGGCATTTTCAAAATTTTCGTTTCTCAGTTTTGGATTTTTCAAATTATCCGACGACTGTAAACTTTAAATAATGGAGATTAAACTTTAAGTGTCGAAACGTCCAAACGATTTACAGTTTTAATAATTAAAGGGTAACGGATACCGATTTTTCAGCAAAAAGATCTTGTCTTTCAGCAAATCTTGGGCTTTAAGGAAGTTATTCAACATGTTCTGTTTTTCTTCTCTGTGGATCTGTTTGAGCTTCCTCAACTCTTTACATAATCGACTTTGCCAGTAACTTTCTAAATTTCTAGAAATTTTTAAAAAGTATTAGTAGCAGAAAGCAGAACTTACTAAGCAAGAAATATGATAAACACCATAACGGAAATTTAAACGAAACGAATACTATCTTAGATTAAATTGCACAAAAGTATTAGTAGCAGAAAAAAGATGTTTATACAATACATAATTAATTTATAAATTATTCAAATCTGCATGAAAACTTAATCGAGGAAGACAATGTTCAATAATCAAGTTTATAAAACATCTGCAAAAAAGTTGGGAATTGGAAGAAATTATTTTCAAATGATACGTTCTGTCTGATTCGTCTTTGAGGCAATGTGTGGAATTCAATTGACTGACTGGTTTAGATTTCCCATATAATTCCAGAAATTTTGCAGATATTTTTTGTTTGTTATTTTTTGAACAGAAAAGAAGTGAGTTTGATACAAAATGCTTTCTCTGTAGCAAACAGAAAAGGTGAAAAAGAATGTTGTATCGTGTTCAGGACAGGGTACCGGGGCCTATGCCTTGTTTTTCAGCAAATATATAGTACATTCCACAAATCTTGGCTGGGATATTGTGATGTGCAGTAGGAAGAATAAATCTGTTAGTATGTGAAGAAGCAAAGGGTACAAGTTACATGAATTTAACAGGTTCTAAGATGGCAATCAGAAGGATGTTTGCCTAATTAACTGAATGGATATTTTCTTTTTTCCTAAATGAGACAAAGTTTAAATCTATTCGATTATTAAGGAAGTTCCTCAAACATATTCCAATTCAAACTACTTTTCTCGGAGTGAAAATGGAAAACCTCCATTGCTTGCTTGTCAGAAAATCCTCGAAGGGGTGAATAAAAGATTTCTCCTGTCGATTCCCCAATTGTCTCGTCACCAAGAGTTAACAAGAGATCTCGCTCTTTGGCTTGCAGAATCCAAAAGTGCTCAACTCTTTGCTCCGAAGAGAGCAGTTTAAATTGGATTAATAATTTAAAGATTTAACATAATGAGAAATTTACAATCGAATCTCACTTTATTTGATGGGTGGCTTCTTTTCGTATACACAAAACTTCATTTCTTTTTAGTTCTAATTCTTCGTTGATGGCACTTAACTCGCTTTGTAAAATTTTAATTGTAGCATGAAGTTTATTTTCTTCACTCTTCTGTAATGCCAATTCTTTCTTCAATTGTCTCTCCTTTTGAAATGCGTTTTCATCCTGAACAAAAAAGGAATTTTCATTATTTTGCATATTTTAATAAACCTAAATTTAAAATGATTTCGCATTTACCTTCACGTGTATTTCTTGTAGTGCGGCATCCAGTTGCGTCTGCATCAACTTAATTTCCCCCAATAAAATTTTCTCTTGTTCTTCGAGAGCTTTGGATTTTTGAGATTTAAATTTTTCATGTAAAATGGCTTTAATGAAGAATATTCTTTTGAAATCAATGTAAAATTTCAAGAAATTTTGAAAATTTTAAACTCACAATTATGTGCCTGATAGATGTGCTGAAGCTTTTGTTTTTCTTCGTTTAGGCTATATTCCTTTTCCAATTTTAATTTTTCTAATGTAAATTTGTGGGCCAAGTCTTTTGCGTTGAGTTCTTCCCAATGTTGCCTTTTCATATCTTCCATTTTTTCCTACAATAAATAATATAAATTAATAAATATACTCTAGATATAATCAAATATTTGAAAATTGTCATAGAAAACTAAAATAAATTACAGTAAATTCATATAATATTTTTAAATCCAAACAAAGTAATGGACATTCACTTATCAACTGTTGTCCTCATAAAAGGTCTCTATTATGCTTTTATTTTTGTCTTCGAAACCACTGTTCTACGGATTGTTGAGATTACGACGATAGCAATGGTAAACTGTAAAACTAATTTATTTTTCAACGCTTCAACAATTGCTTCATTGGAGTCAAAATGATTAAATACATAAATAAAAACTTTTCTAGTAATTTTGGACTCCTCAAAGTTTATAAGACCAATTTCAATTTCATTAACTGGATGTCTTCGCATAATAAATACACTCAAAAGAAAAAGAGTTAAAATCCAGCAGTTTAAATACTAACCATCATCAGGTTTTTATAAAAATTTGAATGTAACAGGTGCAATCTGTTACATTCAAATTTTTATAAAAACCTGATGATGGTTAGTATTTAAGTTGATATATATGTACAGTACAACAGCAAATCAGATGGCATTTTAAAGAACTTAACACGTTTAATAAAATGCAGAGTTTAATGTTTGAATTTTTGTAAAAACCTGTTGGTGGTTGTTTTAAAATAACTGAAAATATTCATTTTCATTTAGATAGTGAAGGTGAGTACAGTAAAGAATCGATTATCCGACCCCCGATCAACCGTCACATTGGTTAACCGACCGCGTTCTAGTCAGCAAATTCAAATGTTTGCTAGTGATGTGGCACTACAATATTTGGCTGTGTCTTGGCTACTTTAATAATATTTTTACGTGTTTTAGCTGGCAACACTGGCTCGACCATAAAAGGGAGCCATTAGAGAGGTTGAGGCGCACGTTTTAAACGTGTAAACGTGTACGTGTGACGTTCGGCGCCGCTTTCCCGTAAGCCTAAAAGTTTGACGATGGTGTTTGGAATGTCGAGCGTGATTCCACCGACTATCCAAACACCATTGTCAAACTTTTAGGCTTACGGGAAAGCGGCGGCGCCGAACGTCACACGTACATGTTTACACGTTTAAAACGTGCGCCTCAACCTCTCTAGTATTTAAACGAGGCTGAATTTTCTAATTTTTAACGATACAATAGCGACGACTATTATTTTTGCTAGGGTTAACATTGATGAAAATTCAACACAAAGTAGGTTAATAGTGATATACCAATATACTAATTACATGGGATACTAATATACTATACCAATAATGTATTTTTCCATATTTTTCGGTTAATATTGATATACCAATATACTAATTACATGGGATACTAATATACTATACCAATAATGTATTTTTCCATATTTTTCAGTTATCTGACCAACCCCAATCGAGTCTGATAATTGATGCTCTACTGTATTTAAACTGTTGAATTTTTGGTTTTATTGAGTATTTTATTATGTCTATAAGACTGCACAATCTTCTTCCTAATGTTATTCCTACACTATGATAGGGTCCTCTACTTGGCACATCCAGCTCCATCTGGCTCAAACCAAGATATCCTCAGGAACTGCATTCGTATGTTGCATGTCCTTTATTTGATCCATCCATCCATTTCTTAGGCCTGCCATGAGGTCGATTGCTGCCATGGTTGAGGTGCATGACTGATCTTGCTACTGAAAATTCCTGGCTACGCATAACATGTCCATATCATCTAAGTTGCTGTTTGCATCTTTTTGCCCAAATTCATTTACAAACATCCTCATTTGTGGTATGGTTAAACCGTTGTTAGCCTGAGGCATCTATGAAGCATTCACATTGCCACTAAATGTAACATTTGCTCATGTTTTGCTATCACAGCCAGCACTCCAATCCATAGAGAGCAACTGGGCATACCACTGTTCTGTACACCTTTGAGTTGAGATGCAATGGTATTTGACAGACACACAGGACTCCAGTAATGTGGCACCATTTTATCCAGATTGCATTAACCCAGACCTAGGCATCTGAAATGCTGTCTCCATTGCTGAAAATGACAGAACAGAAGCACCTGAAGCGCCCTACCTCCTTCAGATCTTCCCACAGATACTAATGGTTCCACCAATCTGGGGCCCACATTCTATGTATTTCATTTTTCTTGATGTTCAGTCAGAGCTCAAACTCACAAAGTCATTTGTTCCACTGCTCTGTTTATTCTTGAAGTTCATGATAATGTCCATTCACCAAAAGACATCATCAGTGTAGAGCAGTGTCCAACGTTGGGATGCCTGGAAATCAGCTATCAGAGTGTTCATACATAGGATGAACAAGAATGGTGAAAGAGCCAAGCCTTGATGCACTCCAATGCTGATGGTGAAGGGGGTGAAGTTCTCATGGCACAGTGGACCACACAGATCCATTGAACATAGGCTTTTGATGCTATGGATATGGTCAAAAAACTTTTCCAGTCAATGAACACCATAAGACAGACCTAGACAAATAGCATGTATCACATCCCTTTAACGAAACCACATTGATTTAGGGTGATGGTGACAATGTTGCACAGCATGGCATCAATAACTCTTATATTTTCATGGTGTGAAAATTGGTCAGTACATGCATTCATTTACATCTCCCTTATCCTTCCAGATCAGCACTGTGGTGCTGGTTGTACAAGCTGGTGGTGATACTCCTTTGTTAATGAACCAGTTGAAGAGGCCAGTGAGGACTGCAATGGCCAAGGGCCTTCCAACTTTCCACCAGGACATTGTTAGGGCAAGTTACCCTACTAATTTTCATCTTCCTCATCCTTTGGCCCAGAAACTGGACAGCATTTTGGATCAGTGGGTGGTTAAATTCTTCATTACCAATTTTGGAAAAGTAGATGAAGGATCTCGTAGGAGCGGATGACAATCATCTTACACATTCTTGATCTGGCCAATGACCTAGATGGTTTGATGACAGCATTGGCCAGGCAGTAAATTTTCTTTTCCCCCATAGGCATCTAATTCTTCGTACGCATCATCATAGTATGTGGCTTTAGTTACTGCTGCTGTGCACTTAGCTGCTGATTTCAGCACCTTGTAATATTTAATGTCCTCATCTGTCTTCGTAGACCAGTGATAACCAGTAATGGCATGTCACTGCCTGTTGGATACCTTTGCCATTGGCCAACTTCCTGAAGGTCGTTTCCTGTGGTCACCATGAGAGGTGGTGATAGGATTTTAAGACTGCACAATATTGGAGTGTATTGTGTTTTTAAGAAACTTAAAAACACAAAGCTGTAATTTACTTTGGAGGATTGAAAGACACAGAACTCTGCTTACGACAGTCAAAAGACCTAAAACAGTTATTAGAGACAGCTTTAACAACTTCTTATAATCTGGAAAAATGAATTTGAGAATAGAATGAAGGAAAGCTTCAGAATAAGTTGCTAACACCATTTTTGGCTCTATAGAGTAGCCACAAATTCCCTTTCTATCTTTCTTTCCCAAACTATTTTTAATATCTATTAATTTATTTATGTAAAATATTAATTATATTACTTTATATATAGTATCTTGCTTTAGCAATGCCGACTTGAGTTTTTCTTGAAACAGTTTTTGTTCTTTTCTGTCTTCACTTTCTTCTGACATTTTATACTGTCGTCTGTTTTTCATGTCAAAACCCTTGCTGTCTCCGGTTCCGTTTTCTTCCACAGACTGGTTACTTTCCAGTTGAGAAATCTGTGAATTAAATGAAGGTATAGTGTATTTATTGTTTTGTGAAACATTTGTCAATTCAATTATATCTAATATTTTAAATGAGTTACATTTAATAATACATGAAGTATCAAAAATAGAAATTAATATAAAATTATGTATGTATGTTTTTTAAGCTAAAGGCTGGGTTTTGTAATATGACTACTGCTGGTGAGATCTGTCGACAATTTGGGTGTTGTCGCAATCACAGGAATATGACTTTTGAATCATTCTGAGTATGCGTAAGAGCATTCATTATTTTTTTTAATACTAATATACAATTTTGATCTTGTCATTAATTGATAATACAACACAACAATAAATGAATCACACATACTAAAGTTAACAATTGATGAAAAATAAATTCATTCATTAATTACATAAAAATTCTTAATGATCTTTATATTTGCATGGGTGGTTTACATGGAAAATGAAGAAATCAAATCTTTATTGAAGAGTTTATCTTCTAAAGTAGCAAAAAAAGTAAAAAATTTTAAAAATCAAGCATTGTCTAGACAGTTACCTCATTTTTTTTCTTTATGTAGTTTTTGTTTTAATTCTTCAGCATTTACAGTAAATTAAACTATCTGAATAAAAGCATTGCACTAAAAAAATTAAGCTTTGGGTTTCTCTACTAACTAACTGCAAGCAGGAGTAAGAATGGAGAGAAGGGATTGGTGTAGTAACTATGCTAGTTCCAAGCTCTGTGAAGTCAATAATGTTGAACTCCCCTCAGAACTGATTGAAACTGCATGTATAGAGGATAACCTATATATGTAAAGCCTCTTCATTTATAAAAGATATAAACAAAAAATTGCAGATACCTGTTTCTCTAAGCGATCGACCATATTCTGCCATTCCCTTTGTGCATTTTCAAATTCTCTCGATTTCTGGATAATGATTTCATTCACGGCCGCACTTATATCTTTCTTCGATTGTTCTTGTAATTCCTTCTCCTTTGCACTGTGGAAGAATTTTATTTTAATGATTCCAATAAGATAGGGTGGGAAAGAAAATCACTTAACACCTCTGCTACAGAACATAGAATGTATTTAAAGAATGTACATTGAGCGCATCATGTAACATGCATAACTCTAACCATTTGAGGTAGGTCAATAAAATCTTTTGTCAATCAATTCCTTGTGAAATTGTGACCCTAAATGATATGTCATGATACCCTTCCCCAGTTTTGAAATTGCATTCAAGATGGCAGCTGTGTGTGAACACATCATTCTGTTTCCCCCTTGGTCTAATGTGTTCTTGACATGAGTGAATTAACTGTGGGTATATTCTGTAGCAGGGGTGTTAAGTGTTTTTTTCTCATCCTATGAGTGTGTGTGTAATGTAAGTTATAATAATACATACATCAATCTTTCTCTCCAAAGTTTATTCAAAAATGCAGTCTGTCTTTTCATTTCAGTCTGGTAATTTTTTATCGCATCTTTGTGCTTAGTTCTCCATTCTTTGGTCACTTTTGACGAATCGCACTATAAATTATGTATAAGAAATATCAATCATTATGCATTTGATAAAATAAGTAATATTTTACTTATATGGATGTTGCAAGATAAATCAGAATTGGTTTCTTACCTGAAAATAAGTTTAAAAAGGTCATGTGTTCATATGCTCAAACTGTTACGTAACTACATAATGGTTATCTGTCGATGGACAATTGACTGGGAAGTGCTTTTGATCCTATTACAGTTGTGTAACTGTAATGGTTTTTAATTGGGCATATGTTCACCCAACCTTTTTAACTTGAAATTACCATATTATTAAATGAGGATGTTTATATTCTATTCTAATGGAGTCATGACACTAACAAGACATGCACAAGTATATATTTTAATGTTACCGTATAGTTTCAAATTTTATGTATGGTCTCTTCATTTTTCTAAAATTTCATCTGGGTTGTGTCTTAAATTCAAGACGTTGTTTGTTACACTTTGAGTCTCAAAATTGTCCTATTCATGGAACAACAAAGGAATATAAAGCCAAACATAAAAAAGTACAAGAAACTAAAATCATTGGAATCTGAACTTTCACAATTAAACAAAAACACAAAGGAGGTATAAGTAGGCTTTTCAACCAAAGGTCGTTGTATGAAAAAAGTGATTTCAGTACAATATTCCCAGAAAGGATGGGCTTTGTTTTAGTTTATTATTATTTAAGAATTTCCTTGGGAATTTAACCAATAACATTCTTCACTTATAGTTAATATTTTCAAACATGATATTTGATGATCGGCAGGCTAAGGTGAAAGTGTTGGCTATTTTTGAGGAATCTGTATGAGGAGTGGGTTGGATCTTTGGAAATTTTTATAATGATTCTGCTCAGATGTGTTGGCCCTATCTGTTGCAAACATGACAAAACTCATGAACATGAAAGGGGAAAGGTCTCTTTTAGTGCCCTCAAGATGAGAAGAATTAAAGAAATAACTATTGTATACACCCTTGTCACAAAAGTTCTTTAAACATACAATTCAGTTATTGCTGTATTTGATTATTATGTTTTGTACTTTAGCAGCACTGCATTTCTTACAATCCAATTGTATAATTTTAACATTGTTTATTTTCCTGCACCCAACTGTTTATCGATCTATCATAGAGCATCTTAGTTCCTAAAACTTTTTGACTAAGATGATTTATGTTTACTAAATGCAACACAATCATATGATTATGCATCTAAAATAGTTTTATACTTACTTCAAAATATAATTACATATTTTTAAATAGTTGTAATATGATTGTGGTTTGAATGTTTCTGAATGTTAATACTCATCATCAGGAACAGAACAAAAGAATTCTGCATTTTCTTTGTTTATTTCCTGAAGATGGCTATGAAGTACTTGAAGATGGTTACCACAAATTCTGCTTTTGATGTAATCATTAAAATCATGTTCTCTTTCCATGGTTATTATTCTAATGATACCAACTTGCTTACTGTTAGCCGAGTGGATTTGACTAGATTCTCATAATAAGTCCTACCAGGAGGCCTCTTATTGCATCGCTTTTCCAGTCAAATTTATTTCTCCTACTTCCTTACAATATACATATTTCTGCTGTTTTTGGAGGTCAAAATGAAAAATTTTCACAAAATCTTTCTATTCTATGGTTTCTGACCATCCTCAGGGATCTAAAACAGTTTTAGTGTCCCAGAGGATGGCTAGAAAGCACCCAACAGCATAATTTGGGCTGCTAGGGAGGTGTGCAGAGGACCATAATTTCGTGTAATGATCCTGTCACATGCCCTTGAGAACTAGATGTAAAGTACTAGGGTTTTAGTGGAATTCTTTTGTCCTGATCCCCAAAAAAAAGTCTTCTGGAACCAAGCACAAAAGACAAAATAGAATGTTCTAATTTTGTATTTGGTATTCAGTTCCCAAGAATGGATGTTAGCCTAAAAATATGCTCAGACCATGCTTCTTTTACAATTATTTGTTTCAAATACTACAAATTAAAGTTATTTTTAGGTAATTTTGGGGTTTATTGTTAATAATTACCTTTGTTTCAGTAATGCCTTCTCACAACAAATTAAATTATTGTTAGTTTAATACAAATTTTTTAAATTACATACCTTTGCAAAATTGATTATGTCTTCGTGAGATTTATTAAAATTCTCTTCGTTTAAATCAATGGGAATATGAATATTTTGTGTACTACTCTGAACAAATTCTAACTCACTCTCATTATTTTCAAATGAAATATCAGTATTTGTTCCAATAGTCTTAAACTCCTATAAAAAATAAAACTATTTGAATTAACTAAGCATTAACATTATCATCATCAATAATGGTTAACTTCAAAAACAAATGAAAGAATTAAAATTATGTTAAGGAATTAAGAAACCAAAATGCTTTTTCTGGAGCAATTTTCTGTTTTTACTGTCCGGAAAAAGCAATTCAGTCAAGCAATACAGTTTTAAAATCTCATAAAACCTGCTTTCAGGGACTAAAAGCAGTTTTTACCAGAGTTAGTAACATTAGAAACAGAAAAAATAACAAAAGTCAAATTGTATACTTGAAAGTTTTCATGACAAGGGTGTGTTTGTCCCAATAATGACAAGATTATTATGAGAAAGGCAGATTTAAATTCAGTTTTGTTCTACGTTATTTTTTAATGATGGTAAACTCCAGTGCAAGTCAGTCCCTTGATTTTCCCCGGAGTCAACTGCACGAGTTTGGCTGCACAATGAATAATGCATAAAACTGCAAATAATCTTTAATGATCTAATGCTTTGCATTGATAAATCAACCAATTAATCTCATCAAATGTAGCAATGCTTGAATTCATTATGAACATATTGCTATTTACAAGGAAATTCTTTAAATAGACTGAATCTTGTATGCAGAATAAAGTTTATAGGGGGAAAAAATGATCATTTAGAAAGTTAAAAATAAAATGTAACTATAAAAGTATGATTTAACTTGTATTAATAATAATAAATTAAATTTCATACTAATGAATCTCATAATAATAATTCATGTAAATGAGAGCAGACAGTTTAAAATTTCTCAGAAAATATCAGTTATATCATTAATATTTTCTAATTTTAAACTGTTAGCTATTTAATAAAATGATGTGAATGAATTTTAATTTGACATTTTGTTTTCAAAATTTTTAACTACTTACCAATTGTTTCCGACCTTCATTTTCTCCAGATTCAATATCGTCTGACTTAATTTCTCCGCTTTGTGAAGTACGAGAATCTGAACGTAAAGAAATTTTATAATCAATTTATGTTTTTCCTCTCTATAAAATTGACATCCACTGATATATGCCATACAGGATGTTACAAGCTTATATCTTCTAATAGGTAATTTGGTGTAGATTTATACTTATGCAAGTGTTAATTGTCAAAATACTGAGCAAAATATTAACTTTTGTACAGAGTCAAATTGTTGAAAGTTAATGGACTAAATCTGAAATAGATACGGGCCTGTATCTGTGAAAGAAGTTAATGAGGTATTGAAAGACTTGGCCTTTGAAATATTTCACTGGATATGGAAGATGTGGTTATGCAAATAATTAAGGTTAAGCTGCAAGCATAATTACCTCTTGAAACAAATCAATCTATTATATTTTTCAGAAGAAATTTGGTCAACTATCTCAAAAACTGAAGCTTGATTTTGCAAGACACTGATAAAATGCAAGACCACTCAAAAGATTAAACTTAACCAACATAAATTAAGCAACTTTTTACTTTTTTGCATTAAAAGGTTCAAAATAAAATGTTAAATAAAGTCTTTTATATATAAATTCAATATTATGGTCATGAAGATAAGAGTATGAAAACCACTGGTTTAGACAATGTCTTATGCATTCACGTTAGTGATGCCTTGCATTTCAAATTTAATTCATTTCGGGAAGCCATTTAAAGCCCAAATTGTCAAAAGTCCAAATTAGTTTTCCCATTAGAAATAATGGAAAGTGAATTAATCCAGCCCCAGACCCTAAACAATATCCATTTCAATAAACTTAAACAGCAAATACACTTAAATTAAGGTAAAAATAATGTAGTTAAATGCCCTGAATATTAAATTACATGAAAACAGTATATAAAATATTGTATAATAAAATGAAAATTGCAATTTTTCGGCCACACACTGTCAACTTTTGGCATCTATAATAGAAGAGTTTGAAGTACGAAAGAATCTAATAATCTTAATGTGTTGTTATTTTTTGCCTGAGCAACACCGGGCTCATCTGCTAGTGTATATATATAACCAAGCATAACATTAATAAAGTGAAAAACACATGAGCATAACATGAGATACTTTCATGGTTAAAATGTACATTAAATCATACAATAATACTTACTATATTTTTCTGCATAATCCAGACTATTACGTTTCAGCCTCTCTAACTCTTCTCTAATGTCATTTGTCTAAATAGAATTTAAAAACATTATTCTCGTCAAAAATTAATAAAGAAAATATTTATTCAAAGTTATTTATTTAATATTTACCTCTTTAACTTTAATTTGAATAATTTCTTTCAAGTGATTTATTTCTTTTTGATGTCTAAGGGAAGGAAATAGATCTGAAATTAATGTTATTTAGTTTTAATTTTTATTTTAAGCAAATCAAATTTATTAATAAATTAATTAATCTTAATTAAATGTTAATTAAATAAGCAGATTAAAAATATAATTGAACGAAGCATTAGCGACGGTAGTTTTAGATTGCACGCGATCTTGCGCAACCACCTTTATATAATAAGATTTTACAGTAATATTAAAGAAATTATAATAAAATAAATAATATTTAAGAAATACCTTTCCGACTGTTCCTCGTTTTCGGATAATTGGAGCAATAATTCGTTTAACCGTTTCTTAAAAAAAGTTTCGTGATTGGAGAGGTCTTTAATAAAATTTGTTCCATTGCACTGACAGTTTGCTGCATTATTTAATGGTTGCAACTTAATCTTCTGCACTTCTAATAAAATTTCATCGTACTGAGTCTTAATTGCATTTAAAAGGCACTCGTATTTTTGCACGAGCAAAGTATTTTCTTTTTCTAACGTATCACAGAGATTTCTAAGAAACTGAATGTTTCCACTGGGAGGAGTCTGTTTGTCTTCGGAATCTGCACAGTTTTCGATCTTCATGCAACTCGATTTAATCCTAAGATTGCTACGTAGATTTTTATGGAGGACTTCAAATTCTTTTAAAATGTTTTGTAGATCACATTTTGTAGTTTCTAACCTTTCGGTTAAGAAAGATAATTTGTTGGGCTGTTCTAATTTAGCAATGTCTACAGATTCGGCACAGGACAATTTATGTAAAAGCGATCTCGCTTCGTGTAATTGATCTTCCAAAGTTTTGATTTTTTCTTTCATTTCGGTTTCTTGGCACATCTATAAAAAAAAATTTTTTTAACTGGTTTTTTTATAGTATAAATGAAGTCATTTTTATACTAAAATATTGTACAGAATGGCTAAAAGTTTTTAATGGGACCGTCAAAAGCTCATATGGGGCCCAATGATAGAGTGGTAGAGTTTTTTCCAGGCCCAGGGAAAAATCCCCAGCTTCCCCTTTTTGACAGCCCTGGTTCTTAAGTATGCTAATTAGAAACTATCTATAAGTTTCCTTCTGTTTTTCATGCTCTTCCAGACATCTTTGCTACATAACCAGTTAAAAGCCACATACGCAATCTCCAATAGTTATTTTTGACTTTTCCACTGTCATAAAACGGAATGGAGAAATTATTTTGCAAAGTCTCAAAGTGAATTGTCACATGCAGACTTTGAGGAAAGGCCACTCACTATATCAGTTCTGTATCCATTCCACTAATCCACTGTCCACACCACTGTCTGCCGAATTTGTCATCAAGATAAAGTAGATTGCTCTATTACTTGGAATCAGATATACCAGAATGAAAAACATGTCTACAGATGAGTCATTAAGTCATCCCAAACTGTTTTATGACTCATCTGTTTTGCAGGTTATTGGCCAGGAGAAGGAAAGTGATAAACTTTGCCGCAGTGTCTAGTTTATTACGAATAATTGTTTACATTTCTTTGTAAATTTACCTGTTATGTTTACCGATACAAGATTTAAATGGTCTCCAATTAATCAGAGTTAAATTTAATTAACAATTAATTAATTGTATCGAAACAATAAATGTGACAGTTTATTTTACAAATTATATATAGTTCTCAATGTATCCACAGTCTCTAGTACTTCACACAGAACTAACTGAATAATGATTCCTGGAAAGAAGCCAGAGGTAAATCAACAAATTTATTTTGGAAACTCTCTGTTCACACAATTCATCTTATATTTCAAGACATCTACTGATCAACATACAACTTGACTTCTCCATATTTCAGTCTCTAAGCTTAAATTCAAGTTCTAGGATGCTTTAAACTTCCATTGACCAACTTTCTGAAACGTTTCCTTTACTCTATGAAATTCTCTATTATGAGGGTTGCCTTACTCACAATTTTGGTTCCAAAATAAACATGAATAACCAAAGAATGTATGATTCCAAAAAATGTTCAAAATGATGAAAAAGTTCCTTAAGCAAAATTAATGTAATATATTCAATTAGTAGGAGATGTCATTAAATGTACAACCTGCTGCACTGGAAGGATTTGGGTTTAAGTTTTGGATCATCCTTAGAAAATCTATGCATAGTACGAAGAGTTAAAAACAAAAATGTGTATTAAACCCAATTTATTAAATATTAATGCAAATACTCAATTGCTGGATTTATCGGGCAACTAATTTAATTAACTACAAAATTTGGCCTGAAGGCAGATGGTCGGGTGCCAACGTTTCAGTTAAATTATATAATTAATTTAGTAACAGAAATGTAGCTCAATAAATCCAGTAATTAGGAATCTGGATTGACAGAAATGTGCTTTCGGGATCCACTACATCAAAGAGAATAAATAAATACAGTGGGTGATTGGTAATGGACAGATTGGTCAACGAACACTTTCGCAAAAGATTTTTGTTTGGATAACTAAAACCTCAAAACAATCACAAGAAGAAGCAATGTAAAATAATGAATAGTAATTGGTCTTCTTTTGTCTTCAGGCAACAATTTGATACTTTTTGGAGTGCGGGAGATGTCGACATCGACGCTCAACCCGGTATATACCGATCGGATAGTATTCCTCTAAACTTTGAAACTCTCCCTTGAAATTTCATCCTATTATTTTTCTGACAAAAACAATTCTTTTATGTATTCACGAGACTGTCGGGTAGACACTCGTTAAGTTTTGTGTCTCTTTTTTCTTTTTGAAAGGTGAGAGTATAATAGCAAAGGTAGAGAGTGAGCAGAAGATGTCTAATGTGACTGGGCAGTATGGCGTGAACAGGTCTACAGTACGCCGCAGTTCAATCTTATTTAAGAAAGATACTGTTTTATCACGAAGCTAAAGAAGTAACAAAAATCACACCTGAGAAATAAAGAACATCGAAGAGTTCATAATGGAACCTGAAACAGATCTGATGACAGAAAAACGCCAAGAAACTCGCCAAGATATGTTTTCTTCTGAAAAAGAGGATTAATGCCGATATCTGCTATTAAAGATATTTTGAAGAAGTGGGAGGATGTCAGAACAACAGTCTTAGAATGGCATCCAAACCAGGTTGAGGCTTGTGGATTTCTACAATTACAATGCTATTAATTACTTCTGAAAAATCCTGAAGAAGATAGAAAAGCAATTGACATTAGACAGATTCTTTAACCCCCACAAATGGAAAAATCATGACTAATAAAAATGCAAGACTGTATGCATGTATTTTTATTATTACATATAAATAAACATAGTAAGAAAGTCTATATTTTTTATTTTTGGGAGTCTCCGGAACAAATTAATTAAATTCCCTTTAAAACCTATGGTAAATCGATAATCGGTTAATGAACAATTCGGATAGTGAACAAAGTCTTGGAACAGATTATGTTCATTAACCGATCACTCACTGTATTTAAGTTTTTTACCTTAAAAACAATACTAAATACCTTTTCTTTATATTCTGTTACTTTCTCTTTTGAATCCCTTAAGAGTTTTTCAATTTCTTCTTCATGGCTACTCTTCATTGTCATAATTAAAACATCTTTATCTTCGATTCTCATATTTAAGTTGTATATAACCTAAAAAGTACAAATTAATTAATTTAAATTACATTACTTTCAAAATTTAGATGAAAGATTTTATCAAAATGTTATATCTGGACATTTTGAATAATAATAATAATCAGGAAATTTACCATTAACTGGTTTATATTTTCGTTACTCACTAGGAAAAATTACAGAAATGTCGCTTCCTAAACATTTAGATTATTTTACATAATTTTATATAACATCAATTATCATTTATACTTGTAAAAGGCTTGATGTCTTCCTGAAAATTCTGAATATAACTAACTCAAAGAGGTTGAAAACCACTTCCCTGGACCAAAATGCAGACCTCTATCCTCATAATTCAATTTACAAATCTATAATAAAATGTTAAAGATAAATTTACACAGAGGCATAACACTAGAGTCAGTGATGTTTTTTACGTCCCAGGATGTCTCAACAAGCTTCTAGGGATGTCAAACGTCCGAGGAGGCACTTGAGGTGTCGGCATATCACTTTGGGAACCCGTAATTAAATTCAAGTAGCCAAAAATCCCAAGGAATTTTTCATGAGTGATCCTCTCAGACATGCCAGTCCCTATCCCTCGCTACCCAATTGATAAAAGTATTGATAAAAATATATTTAAAATTTAAATATCAGTTATGTCATATTCACCAAAATCAACCAGTTAAGAGTATCTGTATCTAAACAAGTTGAAATCCACTGCTTAAATGATACAGGAACTCAGCAACAATAAAAATAAAAAAAATCAAATGCATTTAGTGTTTATATATTTCCTTATATTCTTTATCTTATACAGCACTAAGAAAGATATTTTTCCTGTTAAAATTGGGTCAGGGAAGCCAGGTGGAAAGGTACAAAGCATAACGTATTCAAGTCAAACTGTCTACGGTATAAAAAATGTCAGAGGTTCAAACTCAAACTGGCCCACTGGTGATCAAGTGGATAAAACTACTGGTAGTTCACTATGGAGTCACACCTCACAAGTGGGCTGGCCATGTGGAGTTTTCTGTGTTTTCTTTACATTTGTAACACTCTAAATAAGGGCAGTTTTCCCATAGAATGTTCTTCCAGGATGTATCCCCTATGCAGAATGTCAGCAAGTTATATTGCCATATACAAACAACAAACAAACTCAAGTTTGTCAAATAGCACAATAGCATCTCTACTCCTTAATCATCCTGCCATCATGCTTTAAGTTTTAATGCAGAATTAATACATAAACTCAAAGCCACTCAACTGCATCAGATTTATGTGAATTTTTACTCCAGAGAAAGTGTTTTTACAAGAATTTACAATAAAACCTGTAACCAATTTTAGTTTATTATAAATAAAAGGGTTTATTACAATTAAATTTATTGTCAATTTTCTCAGGATTTATTTTTTAAAATTTTATTGATATATATGTATCAAAGTATAAATTTATTTTAGATAAAAGAAAAGAAAAAAAAAACATTAAGTGAAGCAAGTGATCTATGATTAACAGCTGTGTTTATTTTTTAGTCACAGCTGTTTGATTTTCTAATGTAAATTATCATGAAGATAATTTATAAAATATGGTGACAAATTAAGATAAACAAACAAACAAACTTTGAAATAAATCTCTAGCAAAGGGGGAACTGGGAATTTCCTCCTGTAGCCTGGAGAAAACTTTGCAGCTCATAATGGTTTCTAACCCTATAAATTTGTATTATTTATACTAACAATAAGACTGCTATTTATTTATTAATGAAGAAACATTCTACAAATTTCATTTGTTCAAAAAAATGAAGAAACAAACAGAAAAGGTTCTATCTCTAGTGTCCACATATACAGGATGATCTAGAATCAGTTAATAACAATAAATTTTAAGATTATTTTATGAATTGTGAAGCCCAGCTTGAAACGGTGGCTTGTATTTGTGATCCAGTCATTTCGTCAATTAAATGATGAAATAAATGGAATACATGCAACTGTGCTAAACCAGTTTAATGAACTAAGCAATATGCCAACAGTGGGTATATTGCTGGTGAAAAACATGTTCTTGACCCAGTTAGTGGACAATCTGGCAAATCCTACACCTGTTATGCCTTCTTACATCTATTCATGCCTGAAAATGGCCCATTAACCAGGTCAAAAATATTTGTGTTTTTTTCCAACTGTATTACTTTTAAAGAGGTATTAGTATTACTCTTTATTCATTAAATTAACTACAGTGCCTAGTTTGACTTTACCAAATCAGTTTTAACTGTCCTTAAAATTAACACCTGGTTAATTAAAATTTATGCAGAAAAATATTTTTATTAGATAATTTTGAATTTTTTCATACGAAAACTCTATATTAATATATTAAAAAAAATAAAGAAAATTTTAAAAAGTTCTTTTAAGAGGTCAATAAACCGAGTTTCCAGAATTACACCCTATTCTTTAAAGTAACGATGAAGTTCTAGGAAGAGGCGTACAGATGTGTTTTTGTATTAACATCCTGGTAGAGTATGTCGTCGGCAGGAAGTCGTACAAGACCAATCTGGACAAACAAACGAAAATAATGAATTTATTGTTTCCTAATGAATGAAGAAAGAAAATTATAATATAGAAGCCGAGATACAGAGCGCCTAGTAGAGAGATGTTTAGCTCCAGTACCACATATTGAAAAGCTTTAAAATATCTTTCACATAAGAAAATTATACAAAAGTGATATTTATTTATTAAAAGAAGGTTTAATTTATAACACATTTTTCCACACTTGTTAATAAACTTTATTAATGTATTTATATAACTTTAGTCTGGGGTGGCGTTCAACAGTTATGACTAACTTGATCCCATTTCACTTCTCTTAGTTCCTGATAATAAACAAAATACATTAATTTTATATATTAACAAAATGCATCCTTGATATGCCAAGGAATTTAGATTTAAATCAGGAATTTATTAGGGTAATCTGGTATGTGTATGTTAGATTCTGTCCCAATAATGTTATATTGTATTATGACTTAATCAACCCATCAATATGCCAAATCATTGTTTATATACAATCCGCTTATGCAACAGAATTCAGCCTTTGTTTGGACTACATTCTAAGCTTTGATGTGCAGGGAGGGAATCTGATAATGATTTATTTAATCATTAAATAAAGTTGCCAGCGTTCTTGTACAGATAGAGGACATTTATAACAAAGTAAAACATATACATGTTATACATATTTGTTAACTCACCATAAACTGTAAATAGGTTTTAAACTCAAATGATAGAATTATTACCAACTGTTGCATAATATCACCTTAATCGAGTCCCTGACTCTGAATAACCATAGCATCTTTCTATTTTGGTTATTCTAGTAAGCAATAAAAATGAAACTATTACTTTAGAAATAAAATAGAACTATTATTTTAGAAATAAAATAAGTGTATTGGAATGACATCTGCCAGTAATATTTCAGAGATAAAGTAAAATTAAGTGAAAACAATTAAAATTATAGATGAAAGGAGGATGGGAGGATAATACAGTTCAATGCAGCATTGTCCTCCCAAATGGAAGATGGCTGGAAATCTTACCATTAAATAAATAAATAGCCTATTAGGAAACTTGGACACTCAAAAGCTTGTTATAATAAAACAACTACTCAAAAACTGGGTAAACTTCATAACAGCAGCATCCATAACCAAAATCCAGCATACAAAATAATGGAGCTAAAGTTTTTGCTTGTGTTAAATGGGCATCGTCAGACTAAATGATCTTTTATCTTTTGGATCTTTTAGTTCGACAATGCTCATTTAACACTGGTAAAAACATTAGCTCATTATTTTGTATACTGGATTTTGGTTTCAGACATTGTTGTTAGCTTCTTACAATAGCAAGGAATCACAAAAGCAAGATATTGACCGGCAACGATCAATCTTTATTGGATGCAGGCCACAAGGGACTTTTATAGGCTTCCAGCAGGCTGCATGCATTTCTTACGTTAGTTATAGGATTTAAGCTTGCCAAATACCAACATACACCACAACTGCCAATACACTAGGTATCAAAATAACACATGCAAACTAGTAATATATTCTTTATTCTCGTCTTTACTGATCAAGTTTAGTTTGAATGTTCTATGTCGTGAATATCAGCTTAATTAGTGTCGTCTAATGGCTCAAGGCAGAAAACACAAAAATGAAATTACATTGCCAGAGAACTGGGGGCCACAGGATCTCATAGGCCTAGGGTTTTCATGATTAGTATAAACCTTTACTATAATGCAGTGTTTTTCAACCTTTTTCATTGAGTGGCACACCTAATTGAAAAATAACAAATCATGACACCCTTGACCAGCGGTGGATTTAGAATCTGAATAAGGGGGGACTAATGGGCAAGATGAATTTTTTGCGAAAACGAATATTACACGCAACACAAGTGTTTCTACGTGTTCAAAATCAAAATTTAAGTTCATTGAATTTTGTCGAAATATCTAAATGTAAAATAATAGTCTTGCTATTGTTTTTTAAATATAGTTTTATTAAACAATCATTGCTAAACCCGATACATAACATAACTAAACACCAACGATAGTTTTTCGGCATATCGTTGGTGTTTAGTTATAGTTTTATTATCAAATATATCATCATTTTATGTTATCATTTTATTGATAAACAATTTTTCTTAAGTTTTTTATACTATTTTGATGCATATATATAAAATAAATATTTCATTACTTTTTTCTTATCCTTTTCATATCAATTTAAAAAATTTCAATTAAAAAAAATTATAAAAATTGTTTATTTGTCATCATTGCTTTTGAATACTATGAAAATACTGTAATATGCCTACTTTGTGATTGAAACCACACGGTTTTCAAAGTAGAATGCAACGCTTTTTAAAGTATATACAAGACCAAAGAGTTCATATCATTCTTCTCTGGTAGTTGGCCTGGTACTGGGACTGGGAACGTAAAGGCCAAGCAATGTGGTTTGGGCGAACTCGTGACAAGTCGTGTGTACACGTAGCATAGTACATTACATTAACATGCAATTAGTGATAGTTTCTTTGCTTACTAGATATCTCGTAGCAAAATAGAACTGACAATGAGTTATCTTGAACTACACTCAAGTAAATTTCCAAGAAAATGCCTAAAGGCTCTAAACTTTGCAACACCCCAATCGTGGTGCCATGGCACCCCTGTTGAAAAACACTGCTATAATGAGCATGATAAAAAAATCCTCTTAAGGGCATATAGATAAGACTAAAATTCTTCCATTTGCATTGCTACTATATTTCCATTTTATAAACTGTAGAGTTACGGTAAGATCTGGCAACACCAGAGAGCGAGGGACGTGCAAGACAGACGGCCCTGACTAATGTATAAGAGTGGAGATCGCCCAGTCCAAATAGGACCCCGAATAAAGCATTCAGAGTAAGTGTCTGTACTTCCTGTCTTAAGTGCATCACGAAGGGCGTATAAAAACACTAAGTAAACCACACAGAACATGTATCATTGTTTTACAATGTTTTTTAAGTCAATTTAACATGAAGTCAGTCATATAATAAAATGCAAAATTATTTGAAAATTTTAAAAGAATTGTTCAGTTCAAATAATAAAAAAAAATTATTCAAATTTCGTCCGCTAGAGGGTAGCAGATATTGTAGGTTTGATAGCTGTTTTCCATATGACCAACATGCAGTCGAAAACTACTTCAAAATTGATAAGAAAAGAATGTTTTATTTATTAATATTTTTTTCTTATTAATTTTTGAATTTATTGTAAAGTATTCATACATATTTAAGGATTATTGATTAATATATATGCAAACGATTGTATCATTGAACAACTGCGCATGCTCAGATTAATTAATCAGTCGTCTGCTTCTGTAAAAGAAAAAAAATGGCGATATTGTAAATAATAATCAAAATCTTCCTAAAAATAATACATTAGACGACAAGTTTCATATTTAAAATTCGAAAATTTTCCGTTAAAGATAATTACAGTATTTAATTCGTTTTTAATCTGTCAACAGGTGGCACTAATTGTTTTCAAGGCATAATATGAATATTTTTTTTTTTTTAAACTTTTAAAATATATTTTTAATTTTCAAGAAACAAAATAATAAACGTAATTTTATTTTTAATTAAACAATTTTAATCAGTTTATTTATACGTAAAAATTTCTAATTAATAAGTACACCGTAATAAAAAGAGAAGTCTCGCAAAATGTAAAATTTTGATATGGCCGCTAGAGGGTTGATAATAAATTGAAATTAATAAATCGATTTTGTAAGAAATCGATTTCGATTTATGTTAAATTCCAAAATACTATATGATTAAATAAGCAAAATTCACGGGAAAAAATTACAAAAATGTAAGAAAATTATTAATATTTTATCATTAATTTCAAGTTTGACAGATGCCGAATCATTTAAAACGAGGTGAAGTCCGGCGGAATAACTGTTTGATATAAATATTTTAGCTTTTCCTGCGAAGAAAATATTAAATTTATATATAATTTTAAACAATTAGGGCTTAAACAATACCATACAAGTAAAAAAATAAGTTTAAATAGTGGGAAAATTCGAAGAAAATAGCCGCGCCCTTATCAGAAGGTCAATGTATTATTTTAAAAATTAAAAACAAAAAAATTTTGAGAACTTAATTTTTGTCGAAATTTCGTAAGAAAAAAAAAGGAATTTTAAAAATTAGTTATCAAAATTAAATTAAATATTCTACGAATAATACAGTTTTAAAATATGCGAAGGTCGCACGCTACTCTACTAAGAAGCCGACACGAATGTGCTATAACTAGTGATTTATTTAACCGAAAATTTAACACGATTAATATTAGTTATGAGTGGAAAAGTGAACTTAATAAGAACGATTATCGTTTAATTTAAATAATTATTATTAAATAGATTGATTGATACTTTAAAAATATATTCTTTTAGTTGAAATGATTTATTAACGCATTATTTCGAGGCAAGCGATTCGGAGAATTAAATGTTCTAATTTGATCGATCCATAGAAAAGAACTAACTCAATGGGCAGTGTAATGTGTGTAAATTCTATATTTACGTATACAGTGCTTAGAATTTGTCATAAAATGGAAATTTTTAGAATTGTTAAAAAGAAATCGCATGTGCCATACTTGAAAATAAAGTACATTTACAATTTTTAAACTATTTTCCTACTTTTTCTAGCTTAATTTCCAATTTTTAAGTAATGAATAAGAAAATTTATAGGATCCTTTTTATGCAAATGATCAAATACAGACTTGCAAAACGTTTTTTAAAAATGGTTTCTGGGGTTTAACGAATTTTAAAGCTATTCTTGTAATTTCTTATACGGGAAAAACCAGGAAATGTAAATAGGATATTATAATTCATTTTTTAAAAAATTCGTGTTGTAGACAAGACACTAAAGAATGAAATGAGGACAAAGCTAGTCACAAATGTGAAGTTCCTTATCCGAAAGTCATAAATACTGTATATATGAATGAAATCAATAAAAAATTAAAAATAGATTCATCATCATTTATCAAAAGAACTTTTGTATCGTATATTTTGTATAAAAGACTAAATTTTGGCGGCCCTTACGGAAATTGGCTCTATTGTTCCCCTTTATCCAGATAAAGGAGAACAATAGAGCCAATTTCTTCCAATAGATTACATAACAAATAAATGGACTCAACTAGAAATTTATTTATTGGATATTTTACAGAATGCAATTAAATTATTCGTACGTATAACAAGCTTCAGTATTTGAGGCACGATTTTCCACATAGCTGTTTATCTCCAGCTGCTTGGATATTATCCCTAGAACTAATGGAATTTTGCGTATTAGACATGTCTTGTACCGCAACTTCGTCAACTTGCCTAGAACTAATCGGTTCGTGTTTTCGTCATGGTCTGTGTTGAAGATGCTGTATTTTCAAATTTTTCATACCCTTCAACCGCTGGAATTTTCAAACTGTGGCATTAGTTTACCGCTTTGTTGATAGTAAAGATTGACTTGCTCTCTCTTATCTGAACGTGCTTTGCTATGGCTTTTATCCTATCAAATCCTTTCCACTCTTCCTAATATTTATCAAACTGTTCGTAAAAAGTGGGAGATTAATGTTAATGCACATTTCACGCGCTTTCAGCATCATATTTCCCCTGGAAACGAAATTTTGTACTATTTTTTTCCTCCTTTGTGGATCAAAACCCGATGTTCTGTGATACTTACACCAAATTGAGTTTCGACCGGTAGATGTTTCGCTATAGGGCTCAGAACACCTCCTCTTTAAATGTGGCCGTCCTGTGTATCATTTGATAATTTACTGTAGCCAAAGCTTTGAAATTTTCTTTTCTCGTACCAACAAAAATTTAAACTGAATGTAAATGAAGTATAAATGAAATATTTTAAGACATTTTGTAGCCTGTTGCAACTATTTACTACATAAAAGTTATCATAATTCGAAATTTGTTGGGTTAATTTGAATTTTATTGAACACCATAGCAAAATTCGAACGAAGAAGTCAACGTCTCTCTGCTTCGATTGAGTCTAACAACACAAATTTTGTGCAAATATTTTTAGAATAACCTATGATGAAAAACTTCCGCATTAATTTTAAAATACAATTTCGTAGAAATACTGTACTTGAAAATAGATACCTCCATCACTATTTTATGACAACTATAAGTCATGTTAAATATTAAAAACTAATTTTTTAATATATAAAGAAGAAACCTGAAGAAAACTTTATACAATCAATAATCGTTACATGTCTTAAAATTACAATTTTAAATTTGGTCATCTGAGTATCCGGCCGTCAGGTTTTACTGTATTGCCAGATGGCCGAGCAGTTACGATGGCAGCTTACCGTTTGAAAGATCCGGTGTCGAATCCGGACGGGTCAAAAAACCCCCAGGAATTTTTTGGGAGTCGCTCCTTTGTGGGTCTGGCCAAACCAATAATGGGCTGGCTAAAATAATGCTCAATAAAAAACACAGTGAAACTTTTTTTAAGTCGAACATTCCTACACCATCAAATTCCTATAACTTGGGACTCTCTTAATATCTTTTCCTCTATCAAGGACGCCTCTTTAAAGTGGGCACACTTTCGTAAACCCATCAATGTCCAACTTTACTACAGGTTTTATAGCATTAATAGTCTGGCTGAGGAACATTCAAATACGTGTCATTTTCATTGATTCCTAGAACGTTTCATGATCTCAATTCTTCAGTTAATAGGCCATAAATCTGAAAGCTAATAACTAAAATTCAACAGAATACTTTTCAAATTCGAGTATTAATAACATATTTTATTATCCTCCGGTAATTTTCTTCCAGTTAAAATGACAAAAATTTGTAACTTTGGAAAGTGACTACCGTAATTTAGAAAATTGAAGAAAGAAAAATGAAGTGATTTGGAAATGCTCCAAAAATTCGAATATATAGCACAAAACAAGAGTTCAAAAGACTAGAAACTCAGGTAGATAGAGAAGATAGAACAGAATACACAGTGTAACAATGGGGTTAATTGGATCCAACTGTCTTTAATGGTTACATTAATTGATTTTTCTAAATTCTCTCTTAATTTCTTGATCGATGTATCGATTCACTTGAGCAGTTCAGAAATTTCTAAAAATAAGAATGAATCATTCAAGAATATTTAAAAATCAAAGTCAATATACCCTTTAATGCGAGTGGTCCATTCATTTAAGACACAAGAGAGCAATTTTCAAGAGCCTTAAAAGAAAAAGATCGATCAGTTTCGTATGTATGTTGAAACAACGTGACAGATCATTCAAACAACTTCACTTTATAAATGCGATTTAAAGTGATGTATCAAAATTTGTTTATTTTTATATTCGTGACTTCCGCAAGATGTATTTGCAACGTGTTCTCTCTACAGCATGTAATTTAAATATGATTTTTCTTTATTTTTACAATAGTCTTAACATAATGGTTAATTGTAAAGAAGCAAAGAGAATCTCTCCCTACTTATTTATAATTATTTACATTATATTTTTGTGAGATTCTTTGTTAAAGACTTAAGTAAATATACTCGAAACCATTAGGTGATTACAAATTCCGCCAGTTGTTCGTGAGAGTTGCTTAATTACAATCAAATTTAACACAAAAATGTGAGGAAAAATTGTCTAAATCTCGCAATTAATATCCGAAAGATTAATATTTAATGTTTGATTACTTAAATGAATTTAAAACATGCAAAATTACTAATTCTATAAGTCGATTTAAGACATTGATCTTCATAAAATCAAGTTACAGTACTTAAAAGTTGTATTTTTATTATTTAAAATGATAAATCAGATTAAAAAAAAAAAAGTAAAATTTTATGTATTTAAATTTGTTTTAAAACATTTCTAATGTTTTTATAATAGTAATAATATACTCGATTAGTCATTAATCGATTTTGCGAATAATAATCGATATGTTATTAAAGATCGATTTTTGTAAATAATCGATTAATAAAATCGAGGAGTTACAAATTTCACTAATTTTTTGTATAAAAATTGATAGATAATCCTACGATTCAATTGCCATAATTAATTGATAATCGATTAATAAATTAATTTCGATATTTAGTAAGATTTTATATGAAATCGATCAGAATTAATCGATTGTTTTAATATCAATTTCTATAATTGATTGGAATCGATTATTCGTGATTGCGCTAATCGATTTTTTGTTACAAAATCGATTATTCGATTGTGAAACGGAAAAATCCATTTCAATAAAGTGTAATCTTGGAATTAAGCACGAAGAATTTAATAATCTAAAGTGAAAAATAATTTATTTTAGGAATAATTTCAGGAATTTTTGCGATTTTTCCCGTTATTTATATATATTAATTTCTGAATTTTTGGCAAATTTCATAACTTTTAAACTCAAACAAAAATACGGAATTAATTTTAGAAAGTGTGAAAAAAATAAATAAGTAGTTTTAAAAATAGTTTATATAATGTATATAAATTATTTAATATTTAACTGAATAAAATTATTATTGAATCAATATAAATCTAATTAAATAATAATAAATAAATATCAAATTTATCTTTAAAAGTACACTTTAAAATAATTAAATTCATAGATTTTAAAGAAAGAAGAAGAATTAATATTGGGTGTGGTTAATTATATAATACAGGAATAATTTATAAAATTAAATATTCAAAAAGATTTTAAATTTAACTAAATTCAATGATTTTTAAAAAGAAAATGCCATCATCCAAACAGTAGAAAAAAAAACATTAACATGTGCATTCTCACAGTTATATGTTACAGCTTATCACACTGCTGCCAAAACAAACTAAATTATCTCAACATCTTTTTTCTCTTTCTTCTTCTTCTCCTACCACTTTTTTTAATATTTTTCCTTAATAAACAGACAAAAAACTGACCCTTTTATATTGTTTTTCATAAGTAAATGATACAAGAATTTCTCCGAATTGAATGTAGCGTGCTTAATTTATAAATCGATTTTTTAAGTGAAATATAAACTAACACACTTTCTTCATTAAAGTGTTTTCATATGTTAAATTTAACTCTTTCTACGCTTTAAACCTACTGAATATCTTCTATATATATGCAGCTGGGGTATGAATAGGTGTTTCAAAACAAGATTTCTTCATTAAATATAGTAAACATATCAAATTTTACTGTAAAAACATGTCTAATTTTAAAATCTTTTGTGTAGTAAATTATATATTAACCATTTACTACTTAAAATTAGAATTTAAGACCCCTAAATTAATTCAATTCTGCAATTTTGTAATGGCAAATAACAAATTTGGTTGTTGTAATTCGTGTAAATTAATTTATTCTAGGTTATTTTTAGTGTAGGAGGGGGTTTATTACTTTATACATAAGAGGAAATTCATGTTAAATCTTCTAGAGAATTTTTAATTCTGAGTACTTATAGGTGATAATTTGCATGACATTTATGTCACATCACATAATTTTGATTTTAAATTAGAAAAAAAAATCTTAAAATATCCTGGAAAATTTTTGTTTTTTTCNATCTTGCGCAACCACCTTTATATAATAAGATTTTACAGTAATATTAAAGAAATTATAATAAAATAAATAATATTTAAGAAATACCTTTCCGACTGTTCCTCGTTTTCGGATAATTGGAGCAATAATTCGTTTAACCGTTTCTTAAAAAAAGTTTCGTGATTGGAGAGGTCTTTAATAAAATTTGTTCCATTGCACTGACAGTTTGCTGCATTATTTAATGGTTGCAACTTAATCTTCTGCACTTCTAATAAAATTTCATCGTACTGAGTCTTAATTGCATTTAAAAGGCACTCGTATTTTTGCACGAGCAAAGTATTTTCTTTTTCTAACGTATCACAGAGATTTCTAAGAAACTGAATGTTTCCACTGGGAGGAGTCTGTTTGTCTTCGGAATCTGCACAGTTTTCGATCTTCATGCAACTCGATTTAATCCTAAGATTGCTACGTAGATTTTTATGGAGGACTTCAAATTCTTTTAAAATGTTTTGTAGATCACATTTTGTAGTTTCTAACCTTTCGGTTAAGAAAGATAATTTGTTGGGCTGTTCTAATTTAGCAATGTCTACAGATTCGGCACAGGACAATTTATGTAAAAGCGATCTCGCTTCGTGTAATTGATCTTCCAAAGTTTTGATTTTTTCTTTCATTTCGGTTTCTTGGCACATCTATAAAAAAAAATTTTTTTAACTGGTTTTTTTATAGTATAAATGAAGTCATTTTTATACTAAAATATTGTACAGAATGGCTAAAAGTTTTTAATGGGACCGTCAAAAGCTCATATGGGGCCCAATGATAGAGTGGTAGAGTTTTTTCCAGGCCCAGGGAAAAATCCCCAGCTTCCCCTTTTTGACAGCCCTGGTTCTTAAGTATGCTAATTAGAAACTATCTATAAGTTTCCTTCTGTTTTTCATGCTCTTCCAGACATCTTTGCTACATAACCAGTTAAAAGCCACATACGCAATCTCCAATAGTTATTTTTGACTTTTCCACTGTCATAAAACGGAATGGAGAAATTATTTTGCAAAGTCTCAAAGTGAATTGTCACATGCAGACTTTGAGGAAAGGCCACTCACTATATCAGTTCTGTATCCATTCCACTAATCCACTGTCCACACCACTGTCTGCCGAATTTGTCATCAAGATAAAGTAGATTGCTCTATTACTTGGAATCAGATATACCAGAATGAAAAACATGTCTACAGATGAGTCATTAAGTCATCCCAAACTGTTTTATGACTCATCTGTTTTGCAGGTTATTGGCCAGGAGAAGGAAAGTGATAAACTTTGCCGCAGTGTCTAGTTTATTACGAATAATTGTTTACATTTCTTTGTAAATTTACCTGTTATGTTTACCGATACAAGATTTAAATGGTCTCCAATTAATCAGAGTTAAATTTAATTAACAATTAATTAATTGTATCGAAACAATAAATGTGACAGTTTATTTTACAAATTATATATAGTTCTCAATGTATCCACAGTCTCTAGTACTTCACACAGAACTAACTGAATAATGATTCCTGGAAAGAAGCCAGAGGTAAATCAACAAATTTATTTTGGAAACTCTCTGTTCACACAATTCATCTTATATTTCAAGACATCTACTGATCAACATACAACTTGACTTCTCCATATTTCAGTCTCTAAGCTTAAATTCAAGTTCTAGGATGCTTTAAACTTCCATTGACCAACTTTCTGAAACGTTTCCTTTACTCTATGAAATTCTCTATTATGAGGGTTGCCTTACTCACAATTTTGGTTCCAAAATAAACATGAATAACCAAAGAATGTATGATTCCAAAAAATGTTCAAAATGATGAAAAAGTTCCTTAAGCAAAATTAATGTAATATATTCAATTAGTAGGAGATGTCATTAAATGTACAACCTGCTGCACTGGAAGGATTTGGGTTTAAGTTTTGGATCATCCTTAGAAAATCTATGCATAGTACGAAGAGTTAAAAACAAAAATGTGTATTAAACCCAATTTATTAAATATTAATGCAAATACTCAATTGCTGGATTTATCGGGCAACTAATTTAATTAACTACAAAATTTGGCCTGAAGGCAGATGGTCGGGTGCCAACGTTTCAGTTAAATTATATAATTAATTTAGTAACAGAAATGTAGCTCAATAAATCCAGTAATTAGGAATCTGGATTGACAGAAATGTGCTTTCGGGATCCACTACATCAAAGAGAATAAATAAATACAGTGGGTGATTGGTAATGGACAGATTGGTCAACGAACACTTTCGCAAAAGATTTTTGTTTGGATAACTAAAACCTCAAAACAATCACAAGAAGAAGCAATGTAAAATAATGAATAGTAATTGGTCTTCTTTTGTCTTCAGGCAACAATTTGATACTTTTTGGAGTGCGGGAGATGTCGACATCGACGCTCAACCCGGTATATACCGATCGGATAGTATTCCTCTAAACTTTGAAACTCTCCCTTGAAATTTCATCGTATTATTTTTCTGACAAAAACAATTCTTTTATGTATTCACGAGACTGTCGGGTAGACACTCGTTAAGTTTTGTGTCTCTTTTTTCTTTTTGAAAGGTGAGAGTATAATAGCAAAGGTAGAGAGTGAGCAGAAGATGTCTAATGTGACTGGGCAGTATGGCGTGAACAGGTCTACAGTACGCCGCAGTTCAATCTTATTTAAGAAAGATACTGTTTTATCACGAAGCTAAAGAAGTAACAAAAATCACACCTGAGAAATAAAGAACATCGAAGAGTTCATAATGGAACCTGAAACAGATCTGATGACAGAAAAACGCCAAGAAACTCGCCAAGATATGTTTTCTTCTGAAAAAGAGGATTAATGCCGATATCTGCTATTAAAGATATTTTGAAGAAGTGGGAGGATGTCAGAACAACAGTCTTAGAATGGCATCCAAACCAGGTTGAGGCTTGTGGATTTCTACAATTACAATGCTATTAATTACTTCTGAAAAATCCTGAAGAAGATAGAAAAGCAATTGACATTAGACAGATTCTTTAACCCCCACAAATGGAAAAATCATGACTAATAAAAATGCAAGACTGTATGCATGTATTTTTATTATTACATATAAATAAACATAGTAAGAAAGTCTATATTTTTTATTTTTGGGAGTCTCCGGAACAAATTAATTAAATTCCCTTTAAAACCTATGGTAAATCGATAATCGGTTAATGAACAATTCGGATAGTGAACAAAGTCTTGGAACAGATTATGTTCATTAACCGATCACTCACTGTATTTAAGTTTTTTACCTTAAAAACAATACTAAATACCTTTTCTTTATATTCTGTTACTTTCTCTTTTGAATCCCTTAAGAGTTTTTCAATTTCTTCTTCATGGCTACTCTTCATTGTCATAATTAAAACATCTTTATCTTCGATTCTCATATTTAAGTTGTATATAACCTAAAAAGTACAAATTAATTAATTTAAATTACATTACTTTCAAAATTTAGATGAAAGATTTTATCAAAATGTTATATCTGGACATTTTGAATAATAATAATAATCAGGAAATTTACCATTAACTGGTTTATATTTTCGTTACTCACTAGGAAAAATTACAGAAATGTCGCTTCCTAAACATTTAGATTATTTTACATAATTTTATATAACATCAATTATCATTTATACTTGTAAAAGGCTTGATGTCTTCCTGAAAATTCTGAGTATAACTAACTCAAAGAGGTTGAAAACCACTTCCCTGGACCAAAATGCAGACCTCTATCCTCATAATTCAATTTACAAATCTATAATAAAATGTTAAAGATAAATTTACACAGAGGCATAACACTAGAGTCAGTGATGTTTTTTACGTCCCAGGATGTCTCAACAAGCTTCTAGGGATGTCAAACGTCCGAGGAGGCACTTGAGGTGTCGGCATATCACTTTGGGAACCCGTAATTAAATTCAAGTAGCCAAAAATCCCAAGGAATTTTTCATGAGTGATCCTCTCAGACATGCCAGTCCCTATCCCTCGCTACCCAATTGATAAAAGTATTGATAAAAATATATTTAAAATTTAAATATCAGTTATGTCATATTCACCAAAATCAACCAGTTAAGAGTATCTGTATCTAAACAAGTTGAAATCCACTGCTTAAATGATACAAGAACTCAGCAACAATAAAAATAAAAAAAATCAAATGCATTTAGTGTTTATATATTTCCTTATATTCTTTATCTTATACAGCACTAAGAAAGATATTTTTCCTGTTAAAATTGGGTCAGGGAAGCCAGGTGGAAAGGTACAAAGCATAACGTATTCAAGTCAAACTGTCTACGGTATAAAAAATGTCAGAGGTTCAAACTCAAACTGGCCCACTGGTGATCAAGTGGATAAAACTACTGGTAGTTCACTATGGAGTCACACCTCACAAGTGGGCTGGCCATGTGGAGTTTTCTGTGTTTTCTTTACATTTGTAACACTCTAAATAAGGGCAGTTTTCCCATAGAATGTTCTTCCAGGATGTATCCCCTATGCAGAATGTCAGCAAGTTATATTGCCATATACAAACAACAAACAAACTCAAGTTTGTCAAATAGCACAATAGCATCTCTACTCCTTAATCATCCTGCCATCATGCTTTAAGTTTTAATGCAGAATTAATACATAAACTCAAAGCCACTCAACTGCATCAGATTTATGTGAATTTTTACTCCAGAGAAAGTGTTTTTACAAGAATTTACAATAAAACCTGTAACCAATTTTAGTTTATTATAAATAAAAGGGTTTATTACAATTAAATTTATTGTCAATTTTCTCAGGATTTATTTTTTAAAATTTTATTGATATATATGTATCAAAGTATAAATTTATTTTAGATAAAAGAAAAGAAAAAAAAAACATTAAGTGAAGCAAGTGATCTATGATTAACAGCTGTGTTTATTTTTTAGTCACAGCTGTTTGATTTTCTAATGTAAATTATCATGAAGATAATTTATAAAATATGGTGACAAATTAAGATAAACAAACAAACAAACTTTGAAATAAATCTCTAGCAAAGGGGGAACTGGGAATTTCCTCCTGTAGCCTGGAGAAAACTTTGCAGCTCATAATGGTTTCTAACCCTATAAATTTGTATTATTTATACTAACAATAAGACTGCTATTTATTTATTAATGAAGAAACATTCTACAAATTTCATTTGTTCAAAAAAATGAAGAAACAAACAGAAAAGGTTCTATCTCTAGTGTCCACATATACAGGATGATCTAGAATCAGTTAATAACAATAAATTTTAAGATTATTTTATGAATTGTGAAGCCCAGCTTGAAACGGTGGCTTGTATTTGTGATCCAGTCATTTCGTCAATTAAATGATGAAATAAATGGAATACATGCAACTGTGCTAAACCAGTTTAATGAACTAAGCAATATGCCAACAGTGGGTATATTGCTGGTGAAAAACATGTTCTTGACCCAGTTAGTGGACAATCTGGCAAATCCTACACCTGTTATGCCTTCTTACATCTATTCATGCCTGAAAATGGCCCATTAACCAGGTCAAAAATATTTGTGTTTTTTTCCAACTGTATTACTTTTAAAGAGGTATTAGTATTACTCTTTATTCATTAAATTAACTACAGTGCCTAGTTTGACTTTACCAAATCAGTTTTAACTGTCCTTAAAATTAACACCTGGTTAATTAAAATTTATGCAGAAAAATATTTTTATTAGATAATTTTGAATTTTTTCATACGAAAACTCTATATTAATATATTAAAAAAAATAAAGAAAATTTTAAAAAGTTCTTTTAAGAGGTCAATAAACCGAGTTTCCAGAATTACACCCTATTCTTTAAAGTAACGATGAAGTTCTAGGAAGAGGCGTACAGATGTGTTTTTGTATTAACATCCTGGTAGAGTATGTCGTCGGCAGGAAGTCGTACAAGACCAATCTGGACAAACAAACGAAAATAATGAATTTATTGTTTCCTAATGAATGAAGAAAGAAAATTATAATATAGAAGCCGAGATAGAGAGCGCCTAGTAGAGAGATGTTTAGCTCCAGTACCACATATTGAAAAGCTTTAAAATATCTTTCACATAAGAAAATTATACAAAAGTGATATTTATTTATTAAAAGAAGGTTTAATTTATAACACATTTTTCCACACTTGTTAATAAACTTTATTAATGTATTTATATAACTTTAGTCTGGGGTGGCGTTCAACAGTTATGACTAACTTGATCCCATTTCACTTCTCTTAGTTCCTGATAATAAACAAAATACATTAATTTTATATATTAACAAAATGCATCCTTGATATGCCAAGGAATTTAGATTTAAATCAGGAATTTATTAGGGTAATCTGGTATGTGTATGTTAGATTCTGTCCCAATAATGTTATATTGTATTATGACTTAATCAACCCATCAATATGCCAAATCATTGTTTATATACAATCCGCTTATGCAACAGAATTCAGCCTTTGTTTGGACTACATTCTAAGCTTTGATGTGCAGGGAGGGAATCTGATAATGATTTATTTAATCATTAAATAAAGTTGCCAGCGTTCTTGTACAAATAGAGGACATTTATAACAAAGTAAAACATATACATGTTATACATATTTGTTAACTCACCATAAACTATAAATAGGTTTTAAACTCAAATGATAGAATTATTACCAACTGTTGCATAATATCACCTTAATCGAGTCCCTGACTCTGAATAACCATAGCATCTTTCTATTTTGGTTATTCTAGTAAGCAATAAAAATGAAACTATTACTTTAGAAATAAAATAGAACTATTATTTTAGAAATAAAATAAGTGTATTGGAATGACATCTGCCAGTAATATTTCAGAGATAAAGTAAAATTAAGTGAAAACAATTAAAATTATAGATGAAAGGAGGATGGGAGGATAATACAGTTCAATGCAGCATTGTCCTCCCAAATGGAAGATGGCTGGAAATCTTACCATTAAATAAATAAATAGCCTATTAGGAAACTTGGACACTCAAAAGCTTGTTATAATAAAACAACTACTCAAAAACTGGGTAAACTTGATAACAGCAGCATCCATAACCAAAATCCAGCATACAAAATAATGGAGCTAAAGTTTTTGCTTGTGTTAAATGGGCATCGTCAGACTAAATGATCTTTTATCTTTTGGATCTTTTAGTTCGACAATGCTCATTTAACACTGGTAAAAACATTAGCTCATTATTTTGTATACTGGATTTTGGTTTCAGACATTGTTGTTAGCTTCTTACAATAGCAAGGAATCACAAAAGCAAGATATTGACCGGCAACGATCAATCTTTATTGGATGCAGGCCACAAGGGACTTTTATAGGCTTCCAGCAGGCTGCATGCATTTCTTACGTTAGTTACAGGATTTAAGCTTGCCAAATACCAACATACACCACAACTGCCAATACACTAGGTATCAAAATAACACATGCAAACTAGTAATATATTCTTTATTCTCGTCTTTACTGATCAAGTTTAGTTTGAATGTTCTATGTCGTGAATATCAGCTTAATTAGTGTCGTCTAATGGCTCAAGGCAGAAAACACAAAAATGAAATTACATTGCCAGAGAACTGGGGGCCACAGGATCTCATAGGCCTAGGGTTTTCATGATTAGTATAAACCTTTACTATAATGCAGTGTTTTTCAACCTTTTTCATTGAGTGGCACACCTAATTGAAAAATAACAAATCATGACACCCTTGACCAGCGGTGGATTTAGAATCTGAATAAGGGGGGACTAATGGGCAAGATGAATTTTTTGCGAAAACGAATATTACACGCAACACAAGTGTTTCTACGTGTTCAAAATCAAAATTTAAGTTCATTGAATTTTGTCGAAATATCTAAATGTAAAATAATAGTCTTGCTATTGTTTTTTAAATATAGTTTTATTAAACAATCATTGCTAAACCCGATACATAACATAACTAAACACCAACGATAGTTTTTCGGCATATCGTTGGTGTTTAGTTATAGTTTTATTATCAAATATATCATCATTTTATGTTATCATTTTATTGATAAACAATTTTTCTTAAGTTTTTTATACTATTTTGATGCATATATATAAAATAAATATTTCATTACTTTTTTCTTATCCTTTTCATATCAATTTAAAAAATTTCAATTAAAAAAAATTATAAAAATTGTTTATTTGTCATCATTGCTTTTGAATACTATGAAAATACTGTAATATGCCTACTTTGTGATTGAAACCACACGGTTTTCAAAGTAGAATGCAACGCTTTTTAAAGTATATACAAGACCAAAGAGTTCATATCATTCTTCTCTGGTAGTTGGCCTGGTACTGGGACTGGGAACGTAAAGGCCAAGCAATGTGGTTTGGGCGAACTCGTGACAAGTCGTGTGTACACGTAGCATAGTACATTACATTAACATGCAATTAGTGATAGTTTCTTTGCT